TATGCGTGTGCCTCGGCGGTGATTGTTTGTTGGAGGAGGTACAGCGTGTACGACTTTGGTGCGTAGATAATCAGACCAGACATCTTTCACCACCTTTTGACTCCGTCCAAGAAGCAGAGCGATAGTAGCTGAGACTTTAGTTGCACCACTACGGCGGTATTCAGCGTGAAGTCGGAGAATATCAAGACGTTCTTCTTTTGTTAAACTTCTTGGACGCTGCTGGCGAATGTAGCTGGTTATCTCGTCGTAGTCGTCGTCGGAGATGGAGTTGGTTGCAGGCATGTCAAGCGTGTACACAAATGACGAATGGCTACAGAAAGGTATTAATTTCGAAGGTGTCACGTCACACAGCCCAATCAAATAATATAACCTCTCGAAAATTAATTGGATTAAGTTTAAGAGGTTTTTAGTTATTGCTGGTTAAATATGACAGTTTCGTGCACATTTCAGCAACTTTCTTGGAGGATATTGGTTTTTACGGGTTCCATCCAATAGACTTTATTCGCGTATAGTGAGTCCAGTTCCCCACGAAATTTCTGGGAAAATGGTAAAATAGGTCAAAAGTTTCGATCTTTTGTCCCCTCGGTGCTGTCGACCTCTGTAAAGTTCACTTTACCACTAAGCAATTCGACCGTCAAAAAATATCCCATGCGCTATTTTGACTAGATGGACCTCGGCCGTTTTTTCTTTCGTGGAAGATCTCATTCAGATTCCATTTTGCAAGTCCTCGCGCCAACGGGCATCGCGTCCAGTATTGACAGTCGTGCATTCGCCATCCAACACAACAAGCCTCATGGACGAAACGATGTGGACGAGTATCCCTGCCTCTGGCATACCGAAAGAGGAGACGGTGTGGAGTCGACTCCCGAGCCGCGAAGTGATCCAAGACAAATTGATCAACTCCATTCCATCCCGTGAGGCAGTTTGGAGCGGAATCAATGCTGTTCCAGGGGCAGTTGCAGCGACGCCCGCATGCATTGTTGGCGCATTTGGGAACTGCTTCAGTCGCGCTCGGCGAATGCAATTCGACCAAGATCAGAAGCGCTCGCTGTTGAGCAATTTGTACCACGACGATTCCCGCGTAAATATCCGCGACGCCGAAGTTGAAAATGCAACGTTAGAGCTGCGTCGACGTATCCAAAAGGCAGAGTATGAGAAGCATCGTCGCATGGAAGTCGACGATGATTTAAAGCGACACAAGCAAGGGGGAAAGAAGAAGACAAAGGACCTTGCACCAAACAATCAGGACGGCATTGACGACGAGGACAGCGCGAACAACCCCGTCGACGATATCCCAGAATGCACAACGGTGTTGAAGGCATCTGATATCCGAAAGATGTCAGTGGATGAGCTCCTGAATCTGGACGGATCGAACAACCAGACCGAGGCAACGACCGCGTCGTCTTTAGAAGGCGGCCGGTTGCGCAAGTGGCTCGCAGAAATCGACGGCAACAAGAGCATGGAGTACCTGAGCTACGCGACAAACTTTGAGACCCAGGGCTTCCATTCGATCAAAGATCTGGCGCTACTCGACGAAGAAGACGTTGATCGCGCGCTCACAGAAATCGGCGTCAACAAATTTGCACATCGTGCTCGCATCCGCAAGGCCATTCTACGCCTCAGCCACGTGCCATAACCTTCCTATGCCTCAAAGATTTTGTCCGTACTTTGGGCTATAGCCACATGCCACTTCTCTCTCATGAAATCTCATGGTCAATGTCGACAGCATCCCATCTCTTCTTCGAGAAGTCTTCAACAAATCATATCCTTCATCGGGATGTGCCAGAGAGTTCATCGGACACAACCCTGTGTGTGTCACCGCGGGGCGGCCTTAGTGGGGACGGTTGTCGAGTAGATTTGTCATGTTAAGTGTCAAGATTGGGTCGATGTGGTTGAGTAAATATAGTGGATGAGGGGATGGCACGCTTTCGTCCGTCGTCGTATGATACCGCCGCTAGCTCTGTCGCACAAGCGCCTTGAGCCCAGCACGTTGGCGGTAGCTGTTTCCGTGGGCCAAGAAGTCGGTGTACGGCACGCCTCCGCTTCTGCGCATGGACGTTGGCATCGAATGGATGGGCGATGCCAAGGAGGTCCACTCGGGTCGTTTGTTTTCAGGATAGCGTCGCCACCTTGACCATTTCGCCTCGGTGGTTTCCCGCACGGATGTCCGCTTGATCGTGGACGACCGGCGACGGGACTCTCGTCGTTCGGGCTTGGCCGTCGACATGTTGCGAAAGTAGCCAGCGATGAACGAATCCAAGTTGGTGCCGTCGTCGATCGAGCATCGCGTTGGAACCCCCGAGTGGCACGGTCCGTCGTCATGAAACAGGGGATTCTGCACTTCGTTTTTTCGCTCAATGTACAAATGGCGTGGCGGGGTCAAAATCAGCGCATTCAGGAGCATCTTGGATTTCTACGTTTCCAGTTACAACAACAGCAGTGGCGGCCGTGTATGCCGTACCTCGTGCCAGAGATGTTCGCCAAACGTTCTCCATTTCAAGTTGATGCGAGGATTCGCGGATGTCTTGGGCGGCGACGGCGGCGGCGGGTCCAGCAAGTGAGACACGGTCAACTCGGAAATGCTGAACGAGCGCGATCGCATGTGTTTGCCGGGGGTTGGATGGTCGTGGCGTGTGGTTGTGTCATTTGGTTGTGGTGGGTGTTTTCCCAACGTTAGCATGGTCAGGGAATGCGATCGAACGTGGCGTCGTGATGGAGGGCCGGGCGTTGTGAGACCTGTCGCTGCTGCGGGTCTTGGAGGCGATGCAACCGGATGGGGTGGAGATCGGGGCAGTCGCGCAGGCTTCCGTTGCGCTCTGTGGAGAGATTTGATGTGTTGGTTTGAGGACGGTGTACGGTGTGGTTTGACTTGTACCTGCAAAAGTCGCGACCGTACCGTTTTTGTAAGGACCGCCGCACTTCAATGGAAGGCGGTGTGGACGGTGGATGGAACGAACACCGAACAGCATACGATTGTGGGCCAGCGTCTCCTTCGGGCTTGGGGACGTACGTGCTGCGGAACCCAATCTACGGCAGTGTCAAGGCACCACTAAGCTGACGGTCGGTCACGCGTACCAGCACATCTCGATGCTGGAACAGCGTCGACGGATTGGCGCGGGACCGAGCGCGGTCCATGAGCACATGAACGGAAGGGGGTACTGCTGTCGGGGTCCACTGCAGCCACAAGCTAGCCACCCAACAAGCGAGTCGATCGAGCACGTTTGGGGTGTATTTATAGACCCAGGTCAGATCTCAAATTAACAGCCATGGCTGTCCAGTGCGCTATGTCGTGTCAACCCACAGGTTCTTGTACTTGGACGATGCTGTCTGGTAGAATCAGCAGACAATTCCAACGCACTCGAGCTCTACAACAGCATCTCCCATCGTTCGACCCTTGCGAAGGACCAGCACCACGACGCATCGAGTCACGTCAGCGTCGGACGTATACTACACGTTTTGGAGCATTTCCCGCGGCTGCGTATGGTGCTTGGAAGAACGAATTGCATGACCAGTCAGTACCAATGACTCGCCGCGAGCCGACGGCTATCTCGTCGTCATGTAGCGGTCATCGTCACAAATTAGACGCGTCTTGCTTGACGTCGTATGGTGGAGGAGGCACACCGCGTGCAAACCCTGGCGTGGGTGGTGGCACGGTTCTTGAGGTGCAAGCACGATCTCGGCGCTGATCGCGAGCACGCTGGCAGGTGCCAGAAAAACGATTGTCGTTTGATTGGCACGTTTGCACCTGTTCGCAGCCAATCCGAGGCCGCATATTGCCACCCCTTTTTATCACGAACCAAATACGCACGTTGGATTGGCTCGGGCCGATGACGTCAGCGCCATTGCGTATACGGTGGTGGTGGGTTGTTGGTCTGCGTAATCAGGGGGCAAACGACGTGTGAGTGGGGGCGACTGCCTCGTCAGCCTGGGGATGGTCTTCAACCGTAGGCTCAACTGACTCACCAACCACATGCTACGCGGGGGGACACCGCAACCAGCCACCACACGATGCCCTGCTTGACATGGACACCTACGATCGCCGGACGCTGTAGGGGAACAGACAGAAACACAGGTACACACACACACGTTCAAAATGAAAGGCTTTGAGCTTAATGCCCCAACTCGCCTCTGTCTTCATCGACGCATATTGCGCAACCACGTCTGGTGCAATCACGACGCCTTTCCCTCGCCACTTGCCGTCATGCTGCGAGGGATGGATGTGGGAACTTCGACGAGAATTGCCTTCTCGAGTCGAGCACTCCCGTCGTCATGCAATCGGGCCATCTGAAATGTCACTAAAGTTCCGCGAACCCGAGCGACTTGGTTGAATTACGCGAATTCCACGGAAATCCCTCTATGGAGATTCAACGGCATCTCTGATTGGCCAGCGGATTTGGTGTGGGTGCAATTGCCATCGGTCTGTCACACTCGTTGTTACCAAGGCGGCGGCGGAGCGACTTTGGCCGCGTCGTTCTCGATATATATACGTCAATGCCTCGTCTTTCCCACAGTTATCGATGACAATAATTCTGTCGTATCGTCGACTGCCCTTCACTTCGCCTGAATCGCCGTACAAGTAGAGCTCTTCCCACTCGAGTTGTCGATTGACGGGTTGGTTGTGAATGATGTCATCGGGGGGGGCATTGCAACGGCGCGATATAATTGGCTAAAATCAAGGAAATGCTTCCTCAAAGCAGGACTTCCACGGGGAAAGGGGTAGGGTCGGTTCTGATTGGTCGACGGAGGCAACACCGCGCGCATCACCCAAAGATCGCCTCACTTTTCAATTTGCCTCGGTGTGCGCAAGTGGTCGGACCTCCTCATGTCGGCCAAGGCAATCCGCGAATACGATGGTAAGCGCTTGCTTGGCAAGTGGCTGAGCGACTACTCGAGCGGCAAGCACACGCTTGAAAGCCGTTTTGTTCAAATTACTCCTGAAATCTTTGACGCCAACTTCCCTACCGTCACGTTTGACTCGATTGCGCGTGAAAACCCGTGGTTGCTCCAAACCAAGCTCGTCGTCAAGCCAGATCAACTGATCAAGCGCCGCGGCAAGGCCAACTTGCTCCTTCTTAACGCGACATGGGAAGATGTCAAGCACTGGATCACAGAACGCATGAGCCGAGAAATTCAAGTCGAAGTCGTCAGTGGCATCCTGGACCATTTCATTGTTGAACCATTTGTGCCCCATGCCTCCACAGATGAATACTACTTGTGCATCCAATCCAACCGCGAGGGTGAACAAATTCTCTTCCACCATGAAGGTGGTGTCGATGTCGGTGATGTGGATGCGAAGGCCCTTCGCTTCCAAGTCAACTTGGAAACCACTGCCACCGAAGCAGACATTACTGCTGCTTTGTTGAAGAACGTGTCGAAGGAGCGTCAAACCATCATCGCGTCGTTCATTGCTTCGCTCTTGGCTTTGTACCGCGACTTGAACTTTGTCTACATGGAAATCAACCCCATTGTTGTGGTCGGCGACAAGATCATTCCGTTGGATATGGCTGCCAAGTTGGACGAAACAGCCAACTTTTTGTGCGGCAGCAAGTGGGGTGAAATCGAATTCCCTGCTCCTTTCGGTCGTGCAAAGTTCCCTGAAGAAGCCTACGTCGCGGAATTGGACAGCAAGACCGGTGCTTCCCTCAAGCTCACCATCTTGAACCATCGCGGTCGCATCTGGACCATGGTTGCTGGTGGTGGAGCGTCGGTTGTATATGCCGATACCATCTCCGATTTGGGATTTGGTCATGAGTTGGCCAACTACGGTGAATATTCTGGTGCTCCGTCCGAAGCCCACACCTACCAATACGCCCGAACGATCCTTGACTTGCTGACACGCGAACACGACCCGCGCGGCAAAGTCTTGATTATTGGCGGCGGTATTGCCAACTTTACCGATGTCGCTTTGACCTTTAAGGGTATCATCAGTGCCATCACTGACTTCCAAGACAAATTGAAGGAACGTAACGTGACGATTTGGGTTCGCCGTGGTGGTCCCAACTACCAGGAAGGTTTGCGCCTTGTGCGTGAAGTCGGTGTGTCCACTGGTGTGCCCATCCATGTGTTCGGTCCGGAAACCCACATTACGGCTATTGTGCCCATGGCTTTGGGCCTCGTGCAAGCGCCTGAAACCCTCGGTGCCAGCTCCGTTTCGACCCCTCCTTCGGCGAAGACCCCGGTACAACCTTCGCCAAATGGTTCTCCTCGTTCGGCGGCCAAGCAATCCGTCGCTAACGAACAAGCCGCCACCTCCACCGAAGACTCCCGTGCCACTGTGTCGTCGACCACGGGTGTCAAGGTAATCCAAGACGAAGGCATTGTTCGCATGGAATCCAACACCCGATGCATCGTTTACGGCATGCAACAACGCGCTGTGCAAGGCATGTTGGATTTCGACTACTTGTGCAAGCGTGAGACTCCGTCTGTTGCTGCGATGATTTTCCCCTTCAGCCAGAACCACTACTTGAAGTTCTACTGGGGCACGACCGAACGCTTGATCCCTGTGTTCCAATCTCTCGAGGAAGCCGCCAAGAAGTTCCCCGACGTCAGTGTTTTGGTCAACTTTTCGTCGTTCCGATCCGTATTCTCGTCCACCATGGAAGGGTTGGCGTGCAGCGACACAATCAAGACCCACGCGATCATCGCCGAAGGCGTGCCTGAGTCGCAAACTCGCTTGATCATCAAGCGCGCCAAGGAATTGAACGTTGGCTTGATTGGGCCTGCTACCGTCGGTGGCATCAAGCCCGGCTGTCTTCGCATCGGTAACACGGGTGGTATGCTCGACAACATTGTCCAGTCCAAGCTGTACCGTCCTGGTTCCGTCGCGTATGTGTCCAAGTCGGGCGGGATGTCGAACGAACTCAACAACATCATCAGCCAAACGTCGGACGGTGTGTTTGAAGGTGTGGCCATTGGTGGTGACAAGTACCCTGGCTCGACCTTTATCCAACACTTGTTGCGCTACCAGCAAAACCCTCAAGTGAAGATGATGGTGTTGCTTGGTGAAGTCGGTGGCACGGACGAATTTGAAGTTTGCCGTGCGATCCAAAGCGGTGTGATCACGAAGCCCGTCGTCGCGTGGTGCATTGGTACGTGCGCCAAGATCTTTCCGTTCGAAGTTCAATTCGGCCACGCTGGCGCGTGCGCCACCGGCGAATCGGAAACCGCTGAAGCCAAGAATGCTGCGTTGGCCCACGCTGGCGCCATCGTCCCCAAGAACTTTGACCAGTTTGGCCTTGCCATCCGCGAAACGTACGAAAAGCTCGTGGCGTCTGGTGTGTTGGTCCCGCGCCCGGAAGTGCCTGTGCCGGCCGTCCCCATGGATTACTCCTGGGCCAAGAACTTGGGGTTGATCCGTAAGCCCGCCAACTTTATCTCGTCCATCACGGACGATCGCGGTGAAGAATTGACGTACGCTGGTATGCCCATCTCGGAAGTGTTTGAACAAAATTTGGGTGTCGGTGGTGTGCTCGGCTTGCTCTGGTTCAAGAGAAAGCTGCCTGCGTACGCGACCAAGTTCATTGAGTTTGTACTCATGGTGACGGCCGATCACGGTCCCGCCGTGTCTGGTGCTCACAACGCAATTGTGACCGCCCGTGCCGGCAAGGACCTCATCTCGTCGCTCGTGTCGGGTTTGATGACGATTGGGCCCCGCTTCGGTGGTGCGTTGGATCAAGCCGCTGACATGTTCACCAAGGCCCACGACTCGGGTCTGTCGCCGTTGGACTTCGTCAACAAGATGAAGGCGACCAACCAGCTCATCATGGGTATCGGCCATCGCATCAAGAGCACGACGAACCCTGACAAGCGTGTCACGATTATCAAGGAGTTTGCGTTGAAGCACTTTCCCGGCAACAGCATCCTCAACTACGCGTTGGAAGTCGAAAAGATCACGACCAAGAAGCGGTCGACCTTGATTCTGAACGTCGATGGGTGCATTGCCGTGTGCTTTGTCGACTTGTTGCGCAACTGCGGTGCGTTCACGCAAGAAGAAGCCGACGAACAAATCGCCGACGGGTGCTTGACAGTCGACGACAGCATCGGGGGAGCTTAAGCTGGCATTTGCTGAAAAAATGGCCGATTTTGGTCTAGAATACACCAAAATATTCATAACAAAAAGTTGACATTGAACTCTGGCATTCAAATACCTCAAAAGAACATATCCTGTCGAATATGTAGCTATAAAGTAAACTTTTGATCCAAATTTACCCTCAAGTTATCATATCTTGTACATTTTAGTATTTGGTCCAATGAAACTCATTATCACATTATAGAGGTTTCAAAGGTCCCACTGCCTCTACCATGTCATCCTGCACTTTTTGCAGTTTGTTAGCCGCGATGCAAACTCCCACACACAATCACACCGGATAATTATCCGTCAAGTTCCTTGGGAGCTGTCGTCGACTGTGAACGGGCTCTTTGTCCTCGGTCGTTCCATCGGGTTCATCGGCCACTTCTTGGACCAAAAGCGCTTGAAGCAACCGTTGTACCGCCACCCATGGGACGATATCTCGTACATGAACGACAGCCTGTAGGTCCTCTTCCTAGTTTATATAACGATTTTCCACCTTTCCATCGCGTTCGACCATCCTCCCCCGTCTTTGTGGACTCAAAACGACGCACAGCAACAACATCAAGCCAACCTCGATTTTTCAGCGACTTTTCACATGAAGAAACAGCAGCAAGAGAGTTACATGCCGCACTCCACCTGGCGGCCATCACAACACGATGCTCTTCCAACGAAATGGGTCCCCGCCGTGCCCGGTCGCCTGCCCCATGGGGCAGACGCCTGTGCCGACGGTGGAAGAGATCAAAGCGCACGTTGCCTAGCGCTCCGCCGCGGGACGACGACATCTCAACAAAGATCGGTGTCGTTCCTATCCACGCGACTACACATCGTACTTGTAAAAGAACGTAAATACTGTCGACGCCACAAAGAGCAGGAGCGGCAGCGCCAACACGTCGTCCGACCCTGCGAGGCATGAAAACACGCGGGATGGCTCAAACGACGTCGTACCAAGCGACGAAATCGCAGTTGTGTTGTAGTTTTCGACGGCGAATTTCGCGCAGCATGAAAACTGCATGAGAAGGCCGACGTACAACCCGTTGTTGTTGAAGCGGTCCGTGGCGTCCATAAAGTCCTTGGCAATCACGCCCGTCTAGGATGCTCCGTGATAACTCTGTCGATCGGCACGACGTTGTACCATGGCAAAGGGCAAAATGTACACGGTGGTGAAGAAGCCTCCGAGGCTCACGAACGCCACAAACGAGATCAGGTGGGACCAAGACCCGACGATGACGGCCAACAGCAGCATGAACACTGTCCACAGGTCCGTCAAGTGAATGGAAGAGCGCCACGATGGATCGCACCGCCCGTTGTCATGAACATCAAGTTGACTTGCTTGAGATGCGCCCCCGTCGGATTTTTCGGAATCCACCAAAAGTACGTGAGAGTCGAAACGAACGCGACGGCCGACTGCGTGAAATGTGAAAAGCAATGTCCAGGACCTCGTGCAGGGAACCCACCAAGCCTTGCACAGCATGGCGCGCCATGTCCAGACCTTCCATGTAAAGCTTGACGCCGGTAGCATCGCAGCCTGCGATGACAGCGCCGTCGGGTGTTGTGGCATTGCCTTGAAGCTGTGGACACCCCCGAAACACGCGTTCCGCCCACCACTTGTACTTTTGATTGTCCAACGAGAACCATGCCATCCTACCGCCCCCATGAGCCATTGGGACGAGATGATGCACACGGTATACCACACAATGAGCTGCAGCAGACACATGAGCTTGATCTCCATGGGGGCGCCGACAATGACGTCCCAAATTTCAGTGACGAATCGCTCCAACGACACCGAGTGCTTGCGCTCTTGGTACAACATTTTCTCGGGTTTCAGATCTGGTGGCGCACGTTATGTCAGGCGACGATCGTTCCAACTGAATCACGTACACAACGACACGCCGACCGTGACAAGGATAGCGGCAACCGCGACCCCGCATGTGAGCAGCATCACTTCTTCCGTGATCTGGTCGCCGTACACGACTTTGGCCCCGCCGCCGACGAGAACCATCCCCAGGGCGACCCCCACGCTGTGCCAGATGGACCCACATGCATGCGCGTGAACCTGTACGGGCCAAATCTGAAGTTGTGCTTCGTAAGAGTTGAGTATACCTGGTACTCCTTGGGAATCTCGTCAAAAATTCGCGCCCGCACTGCGACCTGGCCACCGACAGGTCAAGGAAGGTCGAGTCGACGCACGCAGGAAGACCTACCTCCATCGACACGGTGCCCCACACGATGACGGCAATGTTGACAGTGAGCAAAAACAAGTGGCTGCCAAAGATCGACAGCGATCCTCCCAGCAACATGACGGACACTACCAACTTGAGCGTAGCCAACAGCAACTACTCGCAACAGTCGGATGCTGGTCTCGAGGAAACATGGTTAGACGTACAAAGCGGTTGCGGCGGCCTGTTTTCGACGAGCACCGATCGGAAGCGGCGCCAACAAGTGGAGCAAGCGCGAATGTGAGGAACGCGGGCATGTATCGCGGGACAAAGTAATGCACACCGATGGACGTCAAGTACGACGTCATTAGTTCGAACACGGAGAAATACAGGAGCGAAAGGCCGATCCACGGGAATTGAAGGATCAAGCTGACCACGACGGGATGGTCAAGGACGTTCATCTGGGAGCGCGGCCGACGCGGCTTCGGCCCGTCTGTGTCGAGAACGATTGCAGTGCTATCGGTAAAGTGGAAACATCGCCAGTACCATGGGTACTGGATCGATTCATGCAGCTGCTCTTCGCGGTCGTTAGCCAGCGACTCTTCGTCTAATTGGGAGTACGCCGACGCGGCCATCGGGCTCTGCTCCACTTGCGGCACCGCGTCGTCCGGCACCTCGACCTGCATGATGAAACTCACAACTTACGCAATTAGGTCACTCCACCACCTCGCCAATCAAAAGTTCCGATTTTGGTACATAATTGAACGGGTCGACGTTTTTCCACACTCAACATACAAATCCCAAGATAAAAATATAAGATTCCATCGAAACGTTTCCGAATAATCCATACGGCGGGGTGTTACGGTCTTGACTCAGTGACGGCAAGCATCGTCAATTGAAACGAGAGATCCTTTGGTTTACTTTGTTATGACAGCACAGCGGTCCCTCTCGTCGGCTTCTCAAGAGGAACAGGCTCATGCGAGCCACTGCACAATCAGCATGTCCTTCCTATTGTTACACCCGTACCACCTCCCACGCGTATCGCCTCACAAATCGCACTTGATTGGCTAATTCGAACATGGCGATCGCTGATTGGCGAATATGAATTTCATATTGATTGTATGGCGTGCCTCTCACGCCACTCGATCAGGCGACGCGTTCCCGCAAAGGCAGACAAGTACTACAATGTGACGTCCTGTGCCCATTCGCGCCTTGAGGGAATTTCGTCGCCTGCGTTGTGTTGTCGCGCCTGAGCGCGTTCCGCGTCTCGCCATCCCCGGCTCTCTCGATCGTTTTCAGCCACGAACGACCAGCTGCCACTTGCGTGACACATGAAATGTGTCCAAAGCGCCACCTGATTCGCTCAACGTTTTGAAGTGATGGCATACCGGTCACTTGACCGGAAGTCGACGAGTTTGTCACGTTTTATGCTGTCAGTACCATCCTGCCACACGCCGTGAGTCTGCTGGGTCACCGCGTAGTTTATCTCACGACTTCTTGCCCACGCATCATGCAGCAAGGCGCTCCTCAGGACGAAGAAGTGACGATCTTCCGCTCTGGAGCGACGTTGCAAGTGGCGAATCGACCTTCCATGTCCGCTGACAGCGTCCGCAACACCATCGGCGACCTCGGGATGCACCACACCCTCACTGGTGTAGACGGAGTTCGCGAGGACAGCTTGTCCCGGCCGGACCGTTCTGGAAGTCTCACACACATCGACTCGTTTCGCCGAGCGTCGTTGCCTCGAGAAGCACAGCGTGGGTCAGTCCTCATGGCTCGACCGAGTAACGTGTTCAACCCGATGCCGTCGTCGCCGTCGAAGTTCGGCGGCCGTCAAAGCACCTACGCCCACCACAAGCGGTACAGTATGCAAGAGGTCGGGTCGGCATCGACCGACGACGTCGACTCGATGTACCCCTCGAAGGAAAAAATGAAGCTCATCAACGTTGCGTCCCTCGAGCGGCCGGAGACCACCCGCGACTACAAAGGCCAGCTTCGACGTTGGCCAGGGGTCCTGCTCATGTGCGTGCTTATTTCAACGGCTGTCGTTGCCATCGCGCTCGGGGCGAAGCAATCCCACCAAGAGTCGATGCAGCGCCGCCACGATACGATGGTGCGGGAGCAACGGCGCCGTGCGATCCAAGACGGGCTCATCGATGACAGCGAGTTGGTGGACGCGGACGGAAGGGTCGGTAACCCCATGACGTACGACTCTACTGGCCGCAGTACGTCTGCATTCCTGTCCCCGTGAAACGTGCTCTTGATGTGGCCCGCGGTAGAGTGCCAACTGCCCGACTACCAGAGCAAGAACGGGCGGGTGTACGCTGTTGCAGCGAACGGGACCGAAGTCGTCGTCGGCATCAAGGGCACCAACTGGTTCGGCATGGAAACGTAAGTATAGTGCATATTGAGCGGGTCAGCACAGCGCCTGGGATGCCGATCACAACGTCCCCCATGCTCCCTGTAGCGCCCACGCGATCCCGTTTGGATTGTGGGAAAACGATCAGAACGGCACGACGGTGTACGAGGTTGCGGCGTTTCTGCACCGCAACAAGTTTAACAGCATTCGACTGCCGTTGGCGGCCGAGTCCATTCTCAAGAACACGGCGCCGAACAAGCGCCTGATCAACCTCGACGCGAACCGCGCCGTCAACGTCAAGGGGTACATGGAGCTACTCAAGTCGATTCTAAAGGCGCTGGCGTTTCGGGATATCACTGTGATGCTGTCGATGCACACGCTGACGACCAAAGGCGCGTCAGGGTCGTGGTTCAACAAAGAGTTTGCCGAGGAAGACTTTCTCAAGGCGATCGACGTCCTCGCCAACGAACTGTGCACAGACGAGTACTGGAACGTGATTGGGATCGATTTGAAAAACGAACCAAACGACTGCGGGTGGGGACCGCTCGACAAAGCGAGTGCCAAGTGTGACTGGGTCGCCGGCGCCAAGTTGATCGGGGATCGCATGCATGCCGGTTGCAAGAACTGGCTTGCGTTCGTCGAAGGCAGCGCGTCAACGTCGCACACCGTCGGCAAGCTCACGTACGTTGCATAGCTCTGCGAGCCCCACATGTGACGAGATGGTGGCTGCCTAGGTACTTTGACTGGTGGGGCGGGCGCCTGCAAGATGCCGACACCGTCCCTGTGACGCTCAAAGCCGAGAACAAGCTCGTGTGGGCCCCACACTACTACTCGACCGCCGTCGCGCCGCAGCCATACTTTTACGATGCGGTCGTCGGAAGCGCCAGTGGCAACGGGTATTCGTCGTACAAGGAACTGTCCGACGAAGCGCTGAAGTCCAACATCCACATCACGATGGAGCACATGTTTGGGTACCTTCGCGAACAGCGCAAACATGCGATCGTTATCGGCGAATTTGGCGGGCTCTACACCAAGGACGAGCACGAACAGTTTACCATTCGCCGCACGGTCGACTTTACGATCCAAGAAATGCAACTGGACGGGTACTCGGGAGGGTACATGTGGTCGCTCAATCCCGAGTCGGGCTACGACTTTCCGCACGCCGGCAAAAAAGCGTTCACGTCCGAGGGTCTCCTCCTCGACGACTGGCTCACTCCCAACAAACTCTTCATGGAAGCCATGGGCAAATTGAACACCCTCCCCAACCTCAAGCCATTCCCGTGCTTTTCGCCTGTCAAGAAGCCGTAATATTTAACCCACGAGAAGATGTCATGGCATATACGATCGACGACCTGTGTCGCCGACACGAAGGAACGCATGGGTACGGCCGCAACTTCGTGCAGCACACAACCCATGTTACGTACAGTCCTCCTGTCGTTGTGTATGGGCGGGACACGTGAGATCGTGAGCAACATAGTGAGCTCTCGCGGACGCTGTGAACAGCGGTGTATGTCTTACGTCTCTGGCGCTCCCATGCCCGACCCAGCGGCACCATTCCGCACCATTCCGTGTGGATGCCGGCCTGCGCTCTTTCATCGTCGCCTGAATACATTGAAAACAGTAGGCTTCAACTACTAGATATTTAACATCATGTTGGTAAGAAGAAGTAGTAGTATTACTATTCATCGATATGGCAAAATGGTGACACAGTGCGTGCCTCTTGTCGACCAATCAAATCACTACGTTCAACAACAACAACCAATCAAATTCGAGTAAGTGCGTCGTAAATTGCAACCCCGCCAGGTTTTGTCGGGATGCGAAAGGCGCCATTCCACCTTCCATGACGCGACTGCTCTCTCTCGCAGCCGTCGCGTGCGCGGTCTTCTCGCAGGCACCGCCGCTCTTCCCGCAAAGTAGTTTTACCTGCACCAGCTTCACACGCGCCAACAGGACGGTTTGGGTTGCTTCGTTGGTGTTGCCAGGCAATGTCTCTGTCTGCCGCACGACAGACCACTACCGCGACGACTGCGACATCGGCAACACTGAAGCCGACTGTGTCGCCTCTCTGCCCAAGTATCCTCCGTCCATCAACAACACGTTGACGTGCGACCAACTTCGCGCTGCTTTGAATGGATCGCTCGCTGCACTCACGTTCGCAGGCTTCTGCAGCGACGCCATGGCGACCGAGAAGGGCGCCAGTTCACAATCGCCAACACCCACGTCAGCTCCCCAAGGTTGAACCTTCTTTGCACAACTCTGTGCATGTTTAGCAAGTTCCTGATCATGGAGGGTAGATTCGTCCAACATCCCAGTGGTCGTTGGCGTTGGGGGCGGCTCTTTCGTCCTCGGGTGCCTTGTGGTCTTCTTCATTTACCGGCACCAAGCGTCCAAGTTACGCAGTCGACTCGCGGTGGAGCTTGTGTTTGGCGATCGCAAGTCCGATGTGGACCGTTTCCCGAGCCGACGGAGTGGCGGCGGTGGCGCGCACACCCTGTCGAGTCGCACTCCATTCGGGAGCTCCTACAACCGCATGGGGCGACGGTCCGGTCTGTTCCAACCCAACCGTGCGGACGAAATCGATGAAGTTGTCGGGTTCCAGCTCGACATGGGGGATCTGGACTTGTGGCGCATGGACGAGAACGATCTGACGTCGCACGAGCTGCTGGCCAAGGGCGCCCACGGCGAAGTTTGGGTCGGCGACTACCGCGGCATGCTGGTCGCCATCAAAAAGAATTCAAATGCGGGCAAGACTGCCAAAGACGTGCAAAAGTTTATCGACGAAATCAAGCTCTTCACCAAGCTCGACAGCCCGTACATTACCAAGTTCATCGGGGTCAGCTGGATGCGGCCGCGCGAAATTGAGCTCGTGATGGAGTTTATGGACAGAGGCGACCTGCGAAAGTACTTAGAGTCGACAAAGCAGGAGCCCGTCGCGGCCACGGCGACCATCCACGCGATGGCGCCGCCGCTGTTCCCGTGGTCCGACAAGATCGGCATCATGCGGGACGTGATCGAGGGTCTGTCCTACTTGCATTCGGTCGACATCATCCACCGCGACCTCAAGTCCCGCAACGTTCTCTTGACGGAACAGTTGAACGCCAAGTTGTCGGACTTTGGCATTTCCAAAGAAATCACCAATGACACGATGACCCAGGGCGTCGGCACGTACCGGTGGACTGCCCCCGAGCTCATCGCGGGCGAACGATACACCGTCGCGGCCGACATCTACTCGTTCGGCGTGCTCATCAGTGAGCTTGACACCCACGACATCCCGTACGCCGACTACCGAAATGAGAAGAACCAGCCCCTGAACGACTTTCAGATCATGGCGCTGGTCCGGCAAGGCAGCATCCAACCCCACTTCACCCATGGGTGCCCCGACTGGGTGTACGACCTCGCCCTCCGGTGCATCTCGCTCCAGCCCGAGCTGCGACCGACTGGTCCCGAACTCTCGCACATATTGCGCCAGCAACTCAAGCGGGCGCAGCAACAAGCGGTCCAACCCGCCGCGTCCTACTTTGTGTAGACTGGCGTAACACGTGTCGTCCATGAACTGTGTCAATGTCATTGGTTTCCACGACGATCGTACCGCATCAAGGAGTAGTCGCCGACATGAGGGTCGGGATGTTCACAGCATGTGCTTTTCCCGGCAAACCCACGGCCCCCTGTGCTTCCGACCTCACCTGATGCGGCCCCGAGCGTAGGCGCAGCCCGTGCATCTAGTGTTGCTGTCGTAAGCTGCAACGTGAGCTCATGGAGAACGTCCACTCCCCCGATCGCTCGATGCACGCGCTCGGTGGTGTGCACGTTCTTCACAAGGGCGCCGTCAACATAGCGAGGGGGCGCTGCTCCTCCACCCGATGCCTGGGACGCATGACAATCGTTCCATGAGGTGTTTGAATTTGAAAGTGTCATCCTTATCGAAGTGCATGCAGCTTGTGGGAGGAAGGCCCACCAGGTGGATGGCGAGCCCCCCGCCATCCTCTGAGCCAGTCCAACGTCCGAGAGAAGTCGCCATGGACTGAATCTAGAGCAGGGCGGCGATAGTGGGAGCGTCGCTGCCGCGCAGCCTTCTTCACCGTTCTTGATGCTCGTGATGCCAGCACGATGGCACGTTGAATACCGTGGTTTCGCCATTCAGCCAATCAGAACCACCACAGCGACAGCACTCGCCGTCCCATTGGCCACCATCCTAAGCCAATCCAAAGCGATGCTTCATTCGAATCACGCGATCGCCATGGTCGCTGCAAACAACTTCAACTTCGTCGGTTGCGCGGCCGCCTCGTGAGTCTTGGGCGCGAAGACGACGTCGCTCGCGCTTATCTAGTCATTGATCATTTTGAATCCTCTCCGCCGCACCATCACTATCATCACCATGACTGACTACACGACGCTCCAAGTCCACGCCGGCCACGAAGGCGGCGAGCCTGGGTCCCGCGCCCGCGCCGTCCCCATCGTGGCGTCCACGTCGTTCCTCTTTGACAACGCAGACCACGCCGGCAAGCTCTTTGGTCTCCAAGAGTTTGGCAACATCTACTCGCGGATCATGAACCCGACAAACGACGTGTTTGAGAAGCGCGTGACGGCGCTATCTGGCGGCGTGGCGTCCGTCGCCGTGAGCTCTGGCCAGGCCGCACAGGCCCTGACCATCTTCACGATCGCGCAAGCCGGCGACAACATCGTGGCGACGTCGTCCCTGTACGGCGGCACGTACAACCAGTTCAAGGTCGCGTTTCCCCGCCTCGGCATCCAAGTCAAGTTCGCCAACCACGCCGACCCTGCCTCGATCCGGTCGCTGATCGACGACAAGACCAAGGCAATTTACGTCGAGACAATCGGGAACCCCGAGCTGGAAGTGCCCGACTTTGACGCGATCTCGGCCATCGCCAAAGAGCACGAGATCCCGTTCATCGTGGACGACACGTTTGGCGCGTGCGGGTACCTCGTCAACCCGATCAAGCATGGCGCCGACATTGTCGTGCAGAGCGCGACCAAGTGGATCGGAGGCCACGGCACGACCATCGGCGGAGTTGTGACGGATGCCGGGACGTTCAACTGGGGCAACGGCAAGTTTCCCATGATGTCGGAGCCGAGCCCGGGGTACCACGGCCTGAACTTTTGGAAGGTGTTTGGTCCGGGGGGCGTCTTGGGGGCGAACGCGACGTTTGCGATCCGTCTGCGTGTGGAGAACCTGCGTGACTTTGGGTCGAGCTTGAGTCCATTCAACTCGTTCTTGCTCATCCAGGGCCTCGAGACGCTCAGCTTGCGCGTCGACCGCGCCGCGGACAATGCGTTGACGTTGGCGCAGTGGTTGGAGACGCACCCGAACGTCGCATGGGTGTCGTACCCCGGCCTTCCGTCGCACCCGTCGCACGAAAACGCCAAAAAGTACATGTACCGGAAAAAGTACGGCGCCGTGTTGACCTTTGGCGTCAAGGGCGGGCTGGAAGCGGGCCGGTCGTTCATCAACAGCGTCAAGCTGGCCAGCCACTTGGCCAACGTTGGCGACTCCAAGACGCTCGTGATCCACCCGGCCAGCACGACGCACCAGCAGCTTGTGGAAGAAGAGCAATCGGCGACGGGCGTCAAGCCCGACATGATTCGCGTGTCGGTCGGTATCGAGCACATCGACGACATCAAGGCCGACTTGGACCAGGCACTGGCGGTGTTTG